TGTCTGAGACACGGCTGGGAAGGAATGAACTGCAGCATAGATATCGTAGGCGTCGTCGTCCGAATCAACCTCGGGCGGAGGTGGGACTGCCTTGATGAGTGGCTTGTAATCCTCTTGCCAGACTTTGCGAGCGGCGCTGACAGCGGTATCGATCCACGCCTGCTCCCACTTCTGATTCGTGAAGTAGTGCCCGCGATGCTTCGGGTGTAGCACTAAACCAAAAATTAACAAGCGGTTGAACCAAAAGAGAGAAAACTCACGCATCGCAGTCTTCCACATCACGGAATCGTCCCGGAGAGCATTGACTGGGGTCGGATGGGGCTGGCGGCAGCAACGTTTACGGGACGCGCGTCTGTCCTGGCTGCTTTGTACCGGGTGATGCGACGCTGGTGTCGTGTTCCACCAATGCCGGCGGGAACTTCACAGGCCGCTCACAAGTTGATCTGTGGCTCTCTGATGTCAGAACGGGAAATGCGGACTGTTGAGTACGGATTAGCTGAGTACTATGTGGACTGTTACGTTACAGTTTTCGGGCGCGCACCCCTTCTTCCTCACGGACTGTAGAGTATTCGTTTTTGTGGACGATTTTGTAGTTTTTTTGTATATTAGATGTATCATACTCTTCACCTGATGCGTCGTATGCGTCGCTTCGCAACAGTACTCGCATCAGGTTTGTTTGTAGCACAACATTTTGTATGGCCTTCATGGCCTTTGTCCTTTTTTTTGCTAATGGCATTTTACCTAATTATGTGTGATCTGGACTGAAATTGTATAATGAATATGCCCTTTTGGCGCAGTGGTTATACTCGTTGTTGTGCTGATGCACAGAAATGGCTGAGCTCCGTGGGTTCAATGCTCACGGGGTTCATTTTGTTCAAAAAATATATATTAGGAGCTGAATACTCACGAATACTCACGAATATAAGAATACTCATGAGTATTCACGAATATTTATGAGTATGAGTCTATCGAGTATTCGTGGCCCCAAACTGAAACTCTAGACTCACCATAGACTCTAGACTCTACTCTACTCACGTGCGAGTATACTCTTGGCTTGCATGATGAGTATGAGTTTATTCGTGAGTACTTTTTTTATTCTATACTCGCGTCCGACTCTAATTCCGCTATATTGGCTAGCAAGTTACCTATAGCACATGGCGGCGGGTCGTCAGAAAGTCCAAACTGGCGAACGTTGAACCTCCGGTACCGCCAGATTCCTCGCCTCGACTCCCACAACAGATAATCCTTTGGTACAAACACAACAATCTCCTCATTTGGATGGCTAGGATAGGGTCCGAGGACCGAGGTAACCTCTGACACTTGAGATGAGCCACCACCATACAAAGTACTAAAACTGTACGGTCCAGCGGGGACCTCATCTGATTGTTCAAGAGCATCCTCCTGGATGTCTTCTACAAATGTGTGCTCTTTTGGTGAGTCTTCCTCATCTTCTGAGTCAGATTCATCAAGTAGATCCGGAATATTGTAGTCTGAGTCCGAGTTGACATTCTTGTCTTCCGAGTCTGACGTGTCATGTTGATTCTCTAGCTCGGTAAGTTCTTTGACATTGCTAATTTTGTTGGTGAGATTGCTGAAGAACTGATTTCTGTCCAGGTACTCTTCAAGGAAACGCCGAACCTCCAGGTACTCTGATGGCAAATGACTATCATCACGGTGAGTCTCTATGTGTTCATCACTCATAGAGGCCTCCCCAGTAATATGAGATAGTATAACCACCAAGGTGTCGGTAGTAAGCGTGTCCGGTAGCACCGGCTGAAATTCGTCCAGGATCCAAAGGTTTTGCTGCACAATTTCTAGCAAATTGATCCCATACTTCTGCAGAGCACGACAAATGGGGTGCCAATAAGGTATGTCATTGTCTGGAGACATGTAGTCCCAGTCGAGGCTAATCAGAATGTACAGAAGATAATCCGGCAACATCAAATCAGTGCCGTTATCCTCAGAGGTATCTGGTTCCACAGTGAGTGATATGTCATCCGTGAACAGACTCTCATCAAACTGTACAGAGTTCAAGACAATTGATTCAGAGTCTTTGGCCATCTGGCGAAGACCTTCCATGTCAAATTTGACACCCGAGATCTGGATCCCCGGCGGTGCGTTACCCTTGCCTCCAGAGACAAACTTTCCCTGTGGGCACTGTCTGGCCATGTGTCCGGGTTCCTTGCAGCGGAAACACTTCCTGACTGCTTGGAGTTCCTCCTTTTCCTTCTCAGATAACTCTGTGCGCTAATAGGACTTGTTGAACTTATTTCCAGATCCGTTCTTCTGCTGTCCGTGCAGCGGCATGTTTTTATGGTGTTCTCGCGTGTCGGGTCATACTTTCTTGTAGGATTTAAATCCCTTTGACTTCTTGAACATTTTTGAGGATGAACTATGCACGTAATGGTGAGCCGTGTCCGCTTTTGGCGCTAATTCGTGAACTGATAGTCCCTTAGATTTCTTCTTCGGGCCATTACTTCCAGATGCGATGTTCTCAATCAGTTCAAGGAGCTCTGCCTGTTGTTTCACGTCCTCATAGGAAGACACTTCCGGGTTCAGTTTTTCGCGCCACAGGCCTTGCTGGATATTCTTATTCAATCCGGACCAAAGCTTGTGAACCTTTTCGCGCTTGTTAACAATACCAACAGTGTTGAAGAGTTCTCAAAGGTCTCCCAAGTACTGCCGGACAGTGCGGTCATTCTGGAAGGTACACCTTAATTTTGCGCATTGATCGAGGCGAAACGTTAAAGGAAAACAGTAGTTATATAATGCGATGAAGAAGTGACGGAGACGCCAGCCCTTTGGCTCATCAGATACGGTAGAGACATAGAAATCTTGTGGTTCCCGTCAGGAATTGCCACAGTTTTAATACCCGACTTTTCTTTGGCACACGTCCATCACGCATGTAAGCGGTACCGTCTGTGACGAACTTCATGAATACGCAAAGATCTGGTGCTCCATTATACTTCTCAGGCGGATCCGGCTTCAAGAGAGGTTGGTTATCGCGACGATGCTTGTGCTTCGATCTAGACGACTTGCTCTTGTGGCCACAATGTTTCTTTCCATGGTTGTGCTTCTTGCTTTGGGATTTCTTATGTCGGACAGTTGAGTCCGAGTCCGAGCTGGATGAACTGGATGAGCTCGAGCTCAAACTGTCAGAATCCGAGCTGTCACTATCAGAGCTTGAACCACTAGAATCCGACGATGATGAACTCGAGTCAGACTCATCATCAGAACTGTCTGATGAACTACTCGAACTGTTTGATGGTTTACGCAAGGATTTACGAGACAGCTTGATTATCTTTGGCTTAACTTTCAGGACACGGGCAAGGTGACTGCCAGGTGCGATTTGGCTAACTGGATCCAATGGTGCCGAGGTCTTGGATTTCTTAGTACTCAATTTCAACGCCTTCTCTTTAGCGCGCTTAGGGCGATTGTGAACGACATCACAAATATGGGTCTCCATTAGGTCCGACATGGGTTCTGAATTCTTGCGGCGAGATTCCTTAGATTTCTTCACCTTCTTGGTCTTGTGCTTCTTGTGTTTGACCGTCTTGGAGTCTTTGTCGCTGACAGTGGCTGACGAGACCTCAATTTCCGTGGCAAGATCCTCTTGTTCACCATCGCTTTCTTCAGGAACTTGTTGTTTCTGGATCTTGAAGGATTTGAGGGCGGCTCTCTGCCCATTGATATCAAGATCTTGCTCATCAAGGCCGGCAGCACCCCAGTTCCGTGGGTCTACTCCTTTGCCTTTGTCCTTTGAGGGTCCTGCTTCAGGCTGTTTGGCCTGGACAGGTTCTTCCTCTTTTGAGGATGCAGAACCTTCATCAGTTACTTCCTCAATGGTAACCTTTTGAGCGCGACACTTGATTCTTTCCTGTTCTTCCGGTCGCATGCTTTCTTCGGCTTTATGAACCGCGGTTTCTTGTTCCGGGCTTAAGACACTAAATCTATTTGATGTAGATTTGCGCATTGCAGGGCTACTACTACACGCTGACCGGTTGGAACTACTATGTCGGCGCCGTGGCTGCACAGATGTCCAAGGAATTTGACCTAATGTCGGGTCATAATCTGCCCATCATAGTTGTACTCTAGGGAATAGCTCCCATCGAGTGGACTTTGGCTTATGTCTGAGAAGGAATTTCCTTCCTTTGGTTCAGACGTCTCCCTTTCGGGGATTCCCTGACTCTCAATCTTGACAGAGTCAGTATTCAGACTAGGAGTCCCGGGGACTTCCCTATCTGGAGCGAGGACTTTCTCGTGTTGTTCCTGTGAAATGCTTTTAGCTTGATTAGGTGCAACTGTTTGCGCACCTTGAGCCGTGTTCTGGTTTCCCATGTTCGTCGACGCAAACGGGTTTCTGCGGCTGGTACTCCGGAGAGTCATTGTTGACATGTTACTTGATTAGATTCGGGTTGTAGGATAGATAGAGATTAGATGTAAAGCAGAGATTAAAGATAAGGGTGAATGAAAATAGATGAGATGAGTTGTCGCCAAGGGAAGTCCTGGTTGATCAGACCGGGGTTGTCCAACTGTGGCAAGTTCTCGAGGGTGATCGAGAAAGAGTTCCGCGGTCAATCAAAAATATGTGGGATAGGCGTGACTGAGGATACATGTCTAGTTCCACACGAGGTAAAAGGATAAGTTGTTGTTGTTTGGTTCGTTTGAGATGATTGGGTTGGGTGGTAAGATTGTTCTGTGCTACTGACACGAGTTCTGCAAGCTTATATACAAGTCCAGAGTCCTGTGTAAGTAGTAATAGTAAATAGGTAATATACTACGGAAAGCAATGAGAGAAACTACGAGAAGCTACGAGCTATAAGTACATTACGCGTCCGTTCGTGTTTAGACTGCGAGTGGCTGTGTCCATGGGTCGAGAATCCTGTCCATATTCAGTAACTCGCTCCTGTCCGTCACATGCGCCCTCCAAGACTTGTGTCATTCTGGATTCAAACCCAAAGACAATTACAGAGAGAACAGCACCCTGACGTAGCCGGCGTGCATTAATGGGGTAGTGGTACCTGGGTCGTAGCCATTATACCAATTGCTCTCGGTCTATGTCGACCCGCCGGGGGTTCGATTCCCCCTTAAAGCAATAGTTGTGGCCAAGTGATCTTTTGCAGATTTTCACTCCGATACAAATTCCGTAGATGAGAGTCCCAAGGTTGTGTAAAGCCTTTTTATATCTTCAACAATACTTGATTTTCATACTGACAGTATGGCTCTAATCTAAGAGTGGAATGTCTATCGGATACAACCGCCTGCGCATCCTCTCCTCAGTCGTCAGATCCACAAGCCACATGGACGATATAATGATAGCGATGTACGTTCCCCCTCTACCTTCATCTCTATCTAACAGATGATCCCATATCGCGTCGGTGTATTCTATGACAGAAGACTCCTCCATCGCCCGGCGGAATGCGTCGAGGGGTCTGACGGATATACGTGGCCGGCTGGAAACGTCGCCCCATTCGGACGCGTAATCCAGTTCGACGACGAACGGGGTGGAGTAACTGCTGTCGAGCCCAGTAAGCGATACAATATGGGAGGTGAAGAAAAGCCAATGTACGTGATAGCTTGGGTTTTGTATTCTCGGAGATCGTCTTCGACCATGGCGTAGATCGCATCCATGTCCAGCGGGGAGGGCGGGAGATGTAGTGCGCGCGAAGGTGCTAGTATATAATCCATTAGAGTCAGATTAACATTGTAAACAGGAAACCACACATACACGTCCGCGCCTCATCCAAGATAGGACATTGCGTCCGATGTCCATTAGCCCAATGCGCCTTTTGACATTGCCGCGAGCAGTATACGGCGAAGAGACACCCACTACATCTCCTCGGTCTTGATGGTGTCAAAGACGTGCACTATACCGACCGTCATAAATTCATGGAAGCCGCCAAAGCAAGCCAATACTCACGTCAGGATTAACGCAAACACACTTGCTCTCCCTATCACGAGCCTCATTCTCCTTCACCTGCGCCTCCACCGCCTCCCTCAACTGCTCATACTGTCTCTGAACTTCGGAATCCGTCTTGCGTACCCCCTCACCAACACGTCGTATCGCCTTCCTACACGCCCTCAACACACTCTTATAAATCAAAAACGCCTCCAAATGGCTGAGACAAGCCGTAATCATCCTGCTCAAATGAAACGTATCCTCCCTATCATCGAACATCGTCTCATCATCATCACTGCTACACATCACTCTATCCACGCGGAGCAGTGTATCGAGTACCCGCTGCTCGAGCGCGCGGATGACATAGCATGGCGCCATACGCGTAAAAACTGAGAGCTCCTGTATCAGGAGACACATACACGAGCCTCCCATATTCCATGGATGATGACGCGCAGCGCGGCAGAGAACGTCCAGTACGCCTTCGACGGCCAACGCCCGACGGACAGAGGGTATACAGCTCCGGCAGTAGAATATCGTGCTCAGCGACAGCCTCAAAGCGTCTGGGTCTGCCGCGGTGAACGAGCGCACGACAGCGCGCGCGACATCGGAAGGCTGGGCGGCGAGGAGCGCGCGCATGGAGTGTTCTAGGTCGGGATGGCCCGGGACGAGCTTGGCTTCGGCGATTAGGGCTGTGAGGACGGCGGTTTGGAAATCGCGGCAGGCGGAGAGGGAGGAGGAGGAGGAGAGCCAGGTGTGGAGGATGAGTGGGAGGAGGATGTTTTCTTTCCGGAATGCGTTGCGCAAGGGGTGATGACGGAGGAGAGGGGGGATGATGTGTCCGAGTTCGCGGAGGATGAGGTCGTTGGATGTGGACTCGATGAAAAGCGCGATCCAGCTCGTTATCATAGGACAAAGTGTTTCTATCGTGCTACTTGGAGGATGAAGTTGAAGTTGTTGCTGGGATTTATCCAGTCCATGTGCAAGCATCTTCAGCGCGTATCGCGCGTTCATCGCCACTGTACCATCCACTCCCTTTACCTGTGCGAGATGCTGTGAAGAGAGATGTGCGTGTATCACCGGAAGAACATCGTCCAGTCCCAGGGAGGTGCTATACGAAAAGATGAGATGGAGTGTGCTTGTGGCGTTATGATCACCGCTGAGTGCTTGAATCTACAAAGCGTGAGAACCTCGAAAGAAGGGAAAGTAAACAAAGAAGACAGACCTTGAGTAGTTTGAATCTGGCGGAGGATATAGACGAGGGCGGATGACTTTGACTGGACATCGTGTATCGTCGATGCACGTCTCCGCCCTCCATATATATGCAGACTCTCGTATCGCTCTAAGCCTCTTTGGGAACACTAACACACTGACCAGGGTCCCGCGGTGTTTAGCCCAGAGTAACATCAACGTCGCCACGGACGGAGATCTCAGGGTATGGCATCGCCACGGGTTCGGGGAAATCTAGGAAACCGGAATGTCATTGTCCTCCGGTAATTTGAAGGATCCGCGAATCCTGTCCTATTATACAGTCTGACATTCCGCGGTATGTGTGGGAGCGGCGAGTTCGGTCGGACTTCACGGGAGAGATGGACGTTCCTCGCTTGATTTGACCTAATCTTGAAGGCGCAGATATGAGAATTTGAACGACAGAAGTGGTTAAGACGAAAGAGGAGAGCAGACTCATGTTGGATAGCAAGCCAGGAAGTTGTGATGCAGATAACAGCTCAGATCATATACGTATCAAAGTGGGTGTGTATTTAATTCCCATCGGTGGCATCACCTTGCCCCCTACGTTTCCGCGAAGCGCGTCGGCACATGTCCGAGGTGTTGTAAGGAGAGTTTGCATTTCGCTCCGAGATACATACAACCGAGGGGAATAAACGCGGAGGACTGTCCCGAGGATAGCATACTCGATGGAGATAGGCCTACAGTGAAATAAGTTTTGGGCGACAGAGTTGTATAACGGAAACAACTCAAGTTGGGAATGGGAGGGCATCAAAGAGAGACGGCCTTTTTAGTTTTGGAACAAAGTAATATTGTCGGTAGTAAATATACTCAGTAGAAAGATAAATGCAACTAAAAACCCTGGATACAAATACAATTGCAGATCAAACAATATCGTAAGCGCGTCAAACTGGTCTTCATACCTCTTCATTCCAATACACCCCACACTCCCAACCCCGCGAAAAACACGCCCAATCCCAGCACCAGTCCCACATACACCCTAACCTGAGGAGCCCTCAAGTTCCCTATCAATGCTTGAACGGCAAAGCACCCGAGCGTCACGCTCAAGCTATAGCCAAAGGTCATACGTGTGTACCACGTCGCGCTCAGGAGAAGCGTAGTGCCCAACGACAACAGAACCATCGTCACTCTCTGAAGAGCAAGGATGAACAGCGGGATATCGATAAACGCTACTCCAGCCAGCGCGGCTTCCATCTCGGCGCGTTTGTGGAGGGTGTTTAACAGCGACAGATTGGTGCTGATGACCGAGGCTTCCTCATCCAAATCATCCGCGTCTTCGTCATCCAGAAGATGCGGCGGCTGGGGCTCGTATAACCGCATAGACCGGTATGCGCTGCGGATGCTCACAAACGCTTCAACGAGCGCCCATGTCATACCGACGACCCACGTCCGGACAAACACGACCTCGTCCCGCTTTGACGGCATAGGAAAGTCCGCGTGGTGCGCTAAGCGCAGGAGATAAGGCGCACTGAGAAGCAGCACCGTATGGAGCCCGGCGCGCAGCAGGGCGGTGACGCGCCACCACGGAGACCAGTCGTCGACGTGCTTCTGTAGGGTGTAGGAGAGAGCCCACAGCGCCGTTGGCACGAGCAGGTCGTCCACTCGTATTGCGCGGGGGGTTGTGGCCAGCCAAAGGGGTATAGTGCTGAGAGCAAACGCGGCGACGGTGGTGAGCAGGACGGAGAGGGTGTACAGGCGGATGTGGCGGACATAGTCGAACTTTATAAAGTCGTCGTCAAAGTCCATGTCTTCGGGAGCGAGAATGGCGGTGGTGTCTCGTCGCCGTTCATGATGGACGGACACAAAATGTGTGAATGACGACATCGATCAGGGTGCGACGAATTGCGATCGCAATTAGATCGTGTCCAGGCTTGCTCTCACTCAAGTAACTGGCTCGACTCAGGTCAAGAAGGTAATATATCTTCGCGTGCCAACACATACTATCGTAACAAAACCAGACGCATATGCATTAATGGGGTAGTGGTAACCTGGGTCGTTGCCATCGACCCGCCGGGGGTTCGATTCCCCCTTAATGCACTCACTGGACTCCAGGCAAGATCTTCTTTTTGGCATGCTTTATGATTCTTGTGATGTTCTACACTATAGTATATACACGCGTTACAGAACATTAATTCGCCGCCTCCATACTCCACTGCAGATGTCTCGCCACATTCCCGTCCTTTGCCCACCTCCCAAACTCTTCCTTAAAGACCCCCGAGTTCTCTTTGAACCAATTCAGCACCGCATGAAGTACGGCCTGTCCCTCGCGTTCCTTCGAGACCTTTGCTTGTTGATTGATGTCGTCCTCTGTCGCGATGCCGCTATGGCCAAAGTCGAGTACCACCGCGCTGTTATCCAAGTCTGCGATGATAACGTTCTTTGGTGAGACATCAAGGTGATATACGCCACAGGCGTTGATGGCTTTATAGCTCTCCTCGATTGGGGTAAACTAGAGATCAAGGAACGAGTTTAGAAGAGAAGGAGAGGGCGTACCATGTACCGTAGATGCTCAAGAAGTGCTCGCTTCCCAGCAGTGTCTGCGACTTCATATTCATGGCTACACTGAGCAAGCGTCTTCCCTTTGATGTGTTCCAAAATCAAAACGCGGGCTTCTTCCCCGTTCGGCATGGTAACCTACCAGTCCAGATCAATAAGATCCCGTTGATTTTATCGGCCAACATACAACGCACCTTGACCTTCCCCAAATAATACGGCACGGCACCTCCTTGCACCGCAGTCAATCGCGTCGTATATATCAAATTCTCCGTGCTCGCAATCTGCCTTCCAAACGCCGAATATTTGAACGAATGCTCCTCCTCCAGATCAGGTAACGGGAGAATGGATGACTGCAGAATCTTGAGAGAACCGTCTCCTCAGTCCCGTCGACACACGCGATCCAGACCTGGGACCACTGCCACGCGTCGTCCGAGGATAGATCCATAGGCTGCAAG